CTCATAGTCCCTACAGCAGGACGCTACTCTAGCCCACAGAGCCAAGTTTGCCCGCGAGTGGTGCTGACAACATCTGCCCGACTTCATTGGTGAAGAGGAATGGTCATCCTATTTTCCAGAACTTGATTCACTCGAATCCCACAAATGGTCCCTGATTAGAAGAGGACCTGTCGAGTTTGCAGTCCCAGTTTGGAGTCCTAGAATGCAAAAGGTGGAGGACGGCTGGGAAGAAATGGAGAAGGATACCTGCGTGCCACATGCAATCAAGTCGAAAGCAAACTTTGACTTCTATTCGCGCTCACGGGGGATATTTTGAATTGCGTCTTCAGCATGTTGCAGCACATAGTGTTAGCCAGCGTGCATAGAAATTCCATCGTCTTTTACAGTTGAGAAGTTTCAAATATTTTGCTATAAATCGGCGCAAATAATTTTGGGACACCCTGAATAAGAATAACGGTTAACGTAGGCTACTGAACTTTTAAACAATTAGGATAAGAGGATGCTTGCCACAATGTTTCAAAGGGTGAACATTTTTGTAAGACAATACTATCTATACTCTCACTTCTTCTACTCACCGTAACATTTTTCGGAAGCGCGATATTAGAATCCGAACCCTGCTTCGAGAGCAGTTATGAACGGTTTGGGTTGAGGAGATCTTCTTCTACAATTCCTCAGGGAAAAAAGTATGTGTCATTCCCTTCATTGACTGAACTCTTCCCTTTGTGGCTGTTCGTGAGCCTTCTGTTTTAGGAACTTAGAGGGAATATCTCAAGACGGCTTACTCTGATTCCTGTCTCGTTTTATTAGTTTTTGAGTGAATTTTGCGTAATCTAATTATCCTTAACACGAACGACTGCGATAGTATAAGACGAGGAGTGTTGCTTTGAAATTGTACGGCTCTCGATCTTAAGGTCCATCCATTTCGGTGGGAACTTCATTCTTTTCAAAGTGGGCCGAATAGTACCTTCGAGAGAGCTGAAGTCTTGCAAAAACTCCAATGCAAACCCTCCGAGCCGCTGTTGTATCCGACCTAACAACACGAATCAAACGATCTCACGATACTTTGCTGAAGTCAAGTACACGGCCCAACTGGAAGGGCATGACATTGACGCGAGAAGTCTGTCTTATTTTGTGTACTTTTTATTTCTCGTCTTAGTGAGTGTATCATACTGCGCTCACATCTGAATGCATGACAAAAGGAAAGTAAAAGTTCAAACGGACATTTGTAATGTAGAATGCGCCATGCGCTCCTTTTCTACTTAAAACCCCGATTACATTAAAACGTGAACTTTGTCTGTACAATAACAAACAATCGCCGGTTGATGTCCAATTCCTATTTGACAGTGCGACTTCAACTCACGAACCATGAGGGTGAATAGGTCCTACTGACTCTGTTGAGCCTCTTTCCGATCAACCTTTTTTATGATCTGCTTTGCCAAGATGACCACTTCGTGAAGAGCATTGATTGAGGTGGTGGTACATCTCGTTGCTGTGTGGTTGCGAGCTCAATCCCGGTCATGGCTTCAGCCTTTGTTTTGTGTTTTTCTCAATTTTTTGCATATTTCTCTGGAAACTAACCAATCACCACTATGAGGACGTTAGCTACGCTACAATCGCTACTAGTTCATTCTGTTTCTCTCTGTAATTCAGCCCTCAAATAGGGCTGAAGTCAGAGAGGAAACTCAGATGCTTCTGCTTACTGCTTACAAATTTTATTTCTTTAATTCATAATCTGATCAACTCTTGTCCTATTTATTTTCCCCAATTTTCTAATGATTTTCTCGTTCCCATATCTGGATCCAAATAGCGCTTCCCCATATGTTGTGACTAAACAAAAACTCATTTCATTTGGTTTCGGTCCAATTCGGCTTGTTTTCTCGACTGTGTAGCTCATTCGTTCGTCTTACATTTGAAATTATTCTTGTCAGATTGTCAAATTTCTAACAAGTAGAACACGACCGCAATTTTCTTTTATCTACAGAAATTTGCTTTCAGAAGCGTCCAAATTCGTAGAAGTCATTGAAGAAGCCTCGGTTTACAGCAGTTTCTGCTCTACGTGTCAATGAACCAGATGGGATCATCGAGGATATTGGGGAGTTTCAGGTGCGCCTTTCTTACCGATGCCATTTGGTTTTGCCGAACACAAGAGTTGAGTTGAATTACTGGCAAAGTTACTGTGGGTTTTATCGACTGCGAAAATCGACCCTTTTCCAAGAATAGGTTAGGTAAGCTGTCACTACATAAAGCGTAGCAATAGTATTCGACAAATGGCCTGGGTATTCTATTCTCTCATGCAGATCAGGCGATTGGTCTTTCTACGAGTTGAATAGTAGGTGGAATGCATCCGTTTTGTCACCATCACCAACATAATCAACGCCTCTTTCCCCTTCCTTTCGGGTAACCAGATTTTGAGGTACCAGTAAAATCTTGTGAAACAACGTTCACTCCTTTATATTACATCGTCAGAGGCCTTATGTATTTCAAATCAGCACTTGCAAAACAAGACGGCAACAGATCGTTCGTATTATGCAGTATTCTGTGGTTACTCTTTTTTTTCTCTATGAAAAGGTTGTAAGAGTCACAGGAGTATGGGTGACCCAATGCATCCCTTCCAACTTTTCAGATTGAGTTTTAGTAAAGTCACCCTTCTCCCCAACTCCCCTTCTCCCCTTCCCCCACATGTGCGATCATCAAATTTCTTCAATTTCGGCAACTGTGAA